ATTTTTTTATTTTTTTTTTTTATTTTTTTTTTTACTTGCTATTGAACAAGTTTATAAACTATAAAGTGAAAAAGTTGTTTAATAAAAATTATGATTCAGTTTTCATAGGGTAGCTCTAGCTAATTTGATAGTGTTTTGTACCTAATTTTATAAAAAATCTAAGTAAAGTCAAATCTTATAAGTGATCCATATTATGTGAGTGGTTTGACCAGAAATCTTTTAAAAAGTTCAAGCCTCTCATAAAAATTACTTTTAAATCAATTATTTTTCAACATTTTCATGTAGTTACTTTCAATTAGTTTAAACATTTTGCCACTCGTATTATGCCACTTGAGATCGACAAGCTTTCGATTTTAATTGCCTTTTCGCTTTGGCAACAGAGCCATCGAGTCCCCTAGGGAAGAGTATTAAATGCCCAGCAGCTGGCGCAGCAGCAACAAGAGGATCAATATGGAGCAGTAAGACTCAACTTGAATTGGCAGCCACGTTAATTTGTCATGGCATTTGGCTGCGGTCAACACACTCACACAGACACACGCACACACACAGACGCACACCCATCATATATAGCATATTACACAACAAGTGATTCTCTTTTTTGCTCGCCCAGTGCTCAAATCAGAGTCGTTGTATGCGTGCTCGTACCTGTAATCTGGTCAACAAATCCGATTAAATGCAAATGCTGCTGTGTGCGTGTGTGTGTATGTGTGTGTGGCAGCAAGTGGCCTGCAGCTTAGTTGCGTAAGTTATCAGCAACGGTATTGAAGACCAAAGCAGCAACAGCAGGAGCAGCAGCAGGAGCAGCAACTGAAGCAGCATTAGCATCAGCGGTTGCTTTGCAGCATCTAATTTGAAGACGACACCTGGGCAGGTGTGTGGCAACTGCAGCATTGCGCATTTGACGGCTTCTAATTATTATTTCAATAGCTAAGCTCCGGGCACTTTGCATTTGCATGGGGTTTGCCATGGCAAGGCACTCATATGCTCGGGCTGTCAATAGATAAGCTGCATGGCTTAAATTTCCCTGCTCGAATAGCTGCTAGAAAAACTCAGTTTGGCCATTAACGAAACGAACGCAAATTAAAAAGGTGTAGGAAATGAAAGCGAAGGGGAAACACTGTAGAAGTAAGACAAATGTGAAATGCTCTATTAAAGAAATTTAAAGTAAGCTAAGTATATGCCATTAAAGCAGATATCGTCTATAGACCTTTAATACAAGAAATATACTCAGTTCTGTTATTGCTTTAACACCAGACATAAATGGGCATTTCCCATTGCCAGAAAGTTTTACTGCAAGTTTACATATTCCGCCATTAGATTTAACTACATGCAACGATTAGTCTTTGATTAAGCGTTACACATTTGCTAAACATATTCGAATGCTCAATTCGTAGGGCATGTAAAAAACTCGGAAATGACAGCCATTTGCTATGCCAATTCCTCTATGAGGACAGGCAGCGTACCCAATGAAGTTCCTGGGAAAACGCACAACTGCGTGCAATTAGAAAGTGGGCGGGGCTATATCCATATATATTTATATATATCTATATATATACACATAACACACAAGTCGACGACTTTTTAAAGCTCTCGGCGTCTGCACTAAACAAATTGCCTGTTTAAAAAATAAGATGAAAAAGGAATAAAAAAAAAAAGAATAAACAAAATAAAAATGAAATGAAACTGCGGCAAATATTTGTTCAACATTTAAGCATCGACATTATCATCATTGTCGCAAGTTTGTTTGGCTTCGCATCAGGATTTTATGGAGCGCACAAATATGAGACAGGATCAAGAACGAGCAGAATGTGGACAAGGCAAAGGGCAAGCCAAGAGAGCAAGCGAGAGGCTGAGGGAACGGGAACGGGAACGGGCACTAGAATCTGCTCTGGTAAAAATAAAAATGCCACTTCCGTTTTATTTGCGCAAAATTAAATAAACCGAAATATGGGCAACCATATTGGCGCATAATAGGAAAAATATTTTGTTCATTAATGTGGCACCCCGCCCCAAACGAGCCGTAGATGGAAAGCGACTAGAGCAAGAGGGCACAAAAAAGAGGGAGAGAGAAGAAAACTTGTGCACGACTTGAGGCTGCGCTGGGAGTGCTATGAAAATTAGCTTGAGCTGAAAGTAAGTTAAGCTAACTTAGATATAAATGTGTGGTACTGCATGTTAATTACCTTTTAGTGTAGGGAGAGTGGTTCTAGTACAGCATTCTATATATGTATTATTGTAGACCATATTGTACTATAATATACTATAATCCATCTTATAATATATTATACTATACTATGCAGTACACTATATACACTATAATCAAGTGGACTAGGCTAAGATATATTGTTGTATTTCATAAGATGGAACACTTATAAAATACTATACCATAATAATCTATATTGTATATTAGGACTTTAAACTGGGTTATATATATACATATACATAGTTATTTGCTTTATTGATACACATCTCTATGAACACAATCAATTCTGTCACGATCAAATGTTGTATAGAATGCTCATATACCCTACTTACACACGCTTAACAGGGTATAACCAAAGTAAAAATAAATAAGCAGCAAAAAAAAAAAAATATAAGAACAGAAGGGAAGCAGGAAAAAAATAGGAAAAGAAAAAGAAAGCCGAAAAGTAAAAGCTTTGCCACTAGCCAGTTTATTGTGTACAAACATTTTGCGGCAGGACAACAGCGTGCAGGATATTTATATATATAATATGT